CAAGGGCGTGGATATAAATTAGATAGCACTAGAGAACGTGAGCTTGAATCTGAACGTAATGAGTTACTCATTAAAACTGAATTTTTTGCTAATAAATGTTCTGATTTTAGAAATGCCAAAGTGCTTGCAGAAACACGATCAGATGGGCTTGAAAAAGAGTTGAAATCAAAAAATGAAAAGATTTTGCGTCTCCGGAAAGAGTTAAATCGAACCAGCGATGCCAAAATACAAAATGACTCGAATATAAAACAATTCAAAGAAGGAATCAAACAACTCAAAGAAGAAATCAAACAGTTACAGAGTAAAAACACTAATCTTGTATCCCATTATTCTCTTAAAGAACTTTCTCTTACTGGATATCAAACCAAGTATTACAAAAAAATGGAAGAGGCGACCTATCTTCAATCTAGAATAAAGTTATTGGAAGAGAAATTATTTTCGGCTCAGAATGATTCATCTCTAATAAAATCCGAGTTTTTGTCTCTCAAATCTAAATTAGCTGAATTGGATCAAACAAAAGATGAATTGGTGCAAACAAAAGATGAATTGGTACAAACAAAAGATGAACTATCTTTAAAAATCGATGAGGTGGAACGTTTAAAATTGGAAGCCATATCTCAAAGTTTGCATGATCAAGTAAAATTTCCATCAGATAAAACAATTGCTGGGGGGTATGAGCCTCAAGAAAACGGTTCTAAAGTATCTAATATTCCAGTTGATAATAAATCTAGTTTAGATACAAAATATCCTGCTCCAGAAAAAAGTCTTCGTAAATATTTACGTGAAAATATAAAAATGCAACTACGAAAACCAGAAGTTTCAGCTACGTCTCCCGAAATAAAAATTGTTGATACTAATTCTCCAGATAAAGATAAGTCTGGTACCTCTTCATTTAAAGACGATACATTACAAAATATCGAGCCAATAAAGATAGACGTTCCCAGTGGAAATATTCCCAACTCCTCTTTGGATAAATCGAATTCCGGGATTTCAGTGGGAGGAACAGAAGCAATTCCTGCTATGACAAGCGTCTTAGGTTTACCAAAAACTGTATGGCTATTGCTTGCTTTGTTGATTATTGTTGTATGGGTTAGATTTATTCGACCTAAATTGAATGCAAATAAAAAATCTTAGATATATAGTTGAATCAGAATGAAATATTTTTATGTATATCATATTGACGAAATTAAACCACCGAGAATATCTTTAGACGATATAGATGCTCCTAAGTGGCCCTTTTATATTGTGGTAAGTGGGAGATCGAACACTGGTAAGACTAATATGCTTCTAAACCTTTTTCTCGGGGATAAGTACTATGATCTGAAAGAAGGAAAAAAGAAAATTGGTGAACGACACATACGTTGTAATGATCTTATATTAGTGGGACACTATATTAACGAACCCAAATATCAATTAGTTCAGAACTTCTATAAGAAAATAGCAGATCGTTCAAAACCATATTATGAAGATGTTACTTTTACTGCACTTACGCCTGATAA